AACTGTGACGATTTGTTAATCTAATGAATAACTGATTTGTTAAATCAAATGAAAAATTGTGTGTTTGATTGGTCCAAACGTTACACCTGAGAGCATATAAGGCCTGCACACTATGCTATTCTCCAGTAAGTATATTCGCTTCTCATGCGGCAAGCAGGGCATAGCTGGTGGATCTCTCCACTCGATATTTCAGAGAACCGGGGTTACGACAGTAACCTATTGTTCTCTATCATCATCTCGTGTTCGAGATCCACCTATGGGAGAGACATGGACAGCTCCCCGATTGCCCAATACACTCACAGTGAGGTTCTGTAACCCAGAGAAGGACGGTCACCCCAAGGGGCGGTGCCTGACACATCCCATAATCATGCACCTGACAATCCTGACACACACACACCGTTGATGAAATGCATTGATCGTGCATTGACCTAAGTGAGGCTGCTCCACGGGAGGCCCCATTACAAATGCTGAATCCATACTCCCTGGCCTCCCCTAATGACCCTCTTGAATCCTCTAGTGAACGGTTTCTGTCCGGCGAGGCTGACGGTCGTGCCGTCCCGTCGAGTATGTTCTTCTGATAAAGACTGCCCTGGAGGACACAAATGCTGTCGATTTGACTGTGGGCCTGTTTGCGTGCTGCCTGTTTTCAGTGAGTTTCAGTTAATAATGGATGCTAAGGGTCAAAAACATACGCGCGCGCGAGTAACACATTGAATTCAATGTAAGTTTTTAAGCATGAAACATGTATGAGGCCCACACATGTAAATAAATCCAGCAACATATATGAAAGGAAAATAAATGCATGCTTGGTGACACGAATGTGCATGACCCAAAGGCCCACTCACCCTTCGTTCCTTTACTACAATGTGTAAATGGGAGGAAGAGAGGAAGGTAACAAGGAGCTATGAAGACCCCACCCCTAAAACAGAATATGCTGCCGAAGTTTTGGTGACATCCAAGCGGTAGTAACGCACAAACGTATGGGGAGAGGCCCAGCTGGCAGCAGAGCAGATGTCCTGCAGTGACACTCTCCCGAACAAGGCCCAAGAGGCAGCTAAGCCCCTCGTGGAATGAGCTCTGATGTTCCCTGGGGGCTGCACACCCATCGATTCATATGCCAAAGCAATAGCTTCCACAAGCCAATGCGCTGTTTGCGTGCTGCCTGTTTTCAGTGAGTTTCAGTTAATAATGGATGCTAAGGGTCAAAAACATACGCGCGCGCGAGTAACACATTGAATTCAATGTAAGTTTTTAAGCAGAGACTTTGCCTTTTGTTGTTCTCGTCTAAAGTAGGTTTGAATTCATAGCTCAGGATAGTTTTAAGCACAGATTGGCTTTACAAAATAAAGAGGAATAATACTTGGAATATAATTCACTCTGTAGGTAAAACTTGCTACTCATGCTTTCAGTGTTTCGTGCTGTATGTAGAAGTGGCATACTCATATGGTCAGGGAAGCGGTTATGGTCAGGTAAGCGGTCAGGGAAGCGGCTATGGTCAGGGAAGCGGCCAGGGTCAGGGAAGTGGTCAGGGAAGCGGTCAGGGTCAGGGCAGCGGCCACGGTCAGGGAAGCGGCTATGGTCAGGGAAGCGGTCAGGGATGCGGCTATGGTCAGGGAAGCGGTCAGGGTTGCACGAGGAATGGACCGAGAGTGCATGTAGCTCATTGACGCGTTTAACTGAAGCCAAGGCCAAGAGCAAAGCTGTCTTGAAGGACAGCAGCTTCAGGGAAATACTTCCCAGGGGCTCAAAAGGGGATTGAGACAGAGCCTCCAGCACCATGGAGAGGTCCCATTCAGGAACAAAGCGGCTATGGTCAGGGAAGCGGTCAGGGATGCGGCTATGGTCAGGGAAGCGGTCAGGGAAGCGGCCACGGTCAGGAAAGCGGTCAGGGAAGCGGCCAGGGTCAGGGAAGCGGCCACGGTCAGCCACGGTCAGGGAAGAGGTCAGGGAAGCGACCAGGGAAGCGACCAGGGAAGCGGCCACGGTCAGGGAAGCGGCCACAGTCAGGGAAGCGGTCACGGCCAGGGAAGCGGAAGCGGCCAGGGAAGTGGTCACGGCCAGGGAAGCGGTCAGGGAAGCGGCCATGGTCAGGGATGCAGTCAGGGAAGCGGCCATGGTCAGGGAAGCGGTCAGGGAAGCAGCTATGGTCAGGAAAGCGGCCAGGGCCAGTGAAGCGTTCAGGGAAGCGGCCAGAGAAGCGTTCAGGGAAGCAGTCAAGGGAATGGTCAGGGATGTGGTCAAGGAAATGGTCATGGGAATTTTGCATAACGCTTACTGGATAATCTTTTCAATTCAGTGCTTTATTCATATGTCATGTTTTCCCTGTTTGCTCAAACAGTTTAGAGATTTTCTGCCCTCCCCCCCACGCTAGCTTTCCCAAGGCAGATGAACTTAGAGTGGTTACAATCATCCGTGTTTAAATCGCGTTCAAATTTATTTGATTTTGATACAATATTCACGCTGAAGCTCGCAGGCGGCTATGGTAAGAGGCATGACATTTCCCGACCAGGCGCCGAGTGGTGCCAAACACAACACACACTGGCCCAGCTAACCAATCACAGCGCATTTTGTTTTTCAGAAGGCGGGCCTTCATTTGATACAGGAACTATTCGAGCCGTTTATGCCAGACTGGGCAGAGAGGTGTTGTAATGTAAAATATGTGAAAAATAATGTTTTTTTAACAACCTAGTATGAAAGCCTGTTCTAGTACACCCCCAAAACAATGTAGACCTTGTTTATGTACACTGTACATGAGGTGAGAAGAGTTAGCTATTTAGGTTGGTACATTAGCATGGACTCCCTAACTTTAACATTAGCTAGTTTTAGCAAGAGATACCTTGCAGCACAAGATGACATTAAAGGGTTAGTTCAACCAAAAATGAAAATTAGCCTGTGTTTTACTCACCCTGTGCTGCAAGGTATCTCTGGCTAAAACTAGCTAACGTTAAAGTTAGGGAGTCCATGCTAATGTACCAACCTAAATAGCTAACCCTTCTCACCTCATGTACAGTGTACATAAACAAGGTTTACATTTCAGTGCCTCTCCATATTCAACTGGTTAAATGTAAATTAATTTAATCGTACCCTGCGATACATGAACAGGCAACACCCGCTGACTGCAATGATAGAGCTTGGAATAGCCAGGACATTTTTTAATATTACTCTGACTGGATTTGTCTGAAAGAAGAAAGTCATATACACCTAGGATGCTTCGAGGGTGAGTAAAACACAGGCTAATTTTTATTTTTGGGTGAACTAACCCTTTAATGTCATCTTGTGCTGCAAGGTATCTCTGGCTAAAACTAGCTAACGTTAAAGTTAGGGAGTCCATGCTAATGTACCAACCTAAATAGCTAACCCTTCTCACCTCATGTACAGTGTACATAAACAAGGTTTACATTTCAGTGCCTCTCCATATTCAACTGGTTAAATGTAAATTAATTTAATCTTAACATGCTGTACATGAATGCTGGATGTTGTCATCTGCGATCGTGACGACCGTAACATGAGGCTTCTCCTGCTTGCATTGTGATCTGTAAAACCTCGCTTCCAAATTAATCTTGTTACCCACCATATTTATTCTAAAATATTTTAGATATCCCTCCATGGCATATTTAAGTCCCACTTGAATGTAAGACGTCGGCGTAATCACCCCCCGGAGCCGTGTGAGGCACATTTATTATGGATGCGCGCTTTATTTGACACTTCTTTTGGACTGATGAACTGCAACACCCGCTGAGAAATTGATCAAAAACATCTTGGGACAAGGTTTTCACACTGACTGCTGTCGTAGTAAGACAGTTAGCAACTCCGTTTGTTTGTCCGAGTTAGCAACAGCAACTAAGGGGGGGTGGTGCTTACCGATAGGTCAATTGAAAGCGTAGACGTGAAGTCGGACACTTTCTGCTTCCCGTAGAGATGTTTGCACAGTACTTGCATACTTTATCACAGATTAAGTGAATAAAATGCAATATTTGTCAAATACAGACGTTTCAGAGACGTTTTCATGAAGCAACAGAAACACTTCATGTACTGCAGCACCTGTACAAGACTGAAGTTGGTGCGGCGACGCACGTAGTGTGATGAGCGTCCCGAAGCTTCATCAGCGTCGCCCTGGAAACAAGCGAGGAGTACCTGGCCATCATCATCACAGGCTGATCGGTCACAGCTGCACCTCATCAGGCGGCGGCTACATAAGCCACGCAAGCCCTGCCATCTAGGAGATTCCTCCATGAGACTGAGCACTAACTCGCCCTCTCACTTTTCCCACAGAAAGCAGCGTGTGACCGACCAGCCCCACAGGAGCACTGCACGGACCCTCTGCACTGGGAAGACGGAAGAGAGCACTCACGGCACTGGAGCACCTACCTGGACCTTTCTCACTATCACCCATCACCCCAATAAATCCACCCTCCGGGGTATTGATTGAGATTACTTGTCGTGTGATTCTTCACCCCGTTACACTAGTTAAAAAAAATTACACTGCAGTTCAACTGCAGCTGCAGAGTGCAAAAATATATGCTATTTACACTAAGTGAAAATAGCAGTATTGTTTTTTTGCGATAAGCTATTTTCACTAAGTGCAAATAGCGATAGATTATATTTTCACTGTAAAAAAAAAGTATTTTCAAGTAAAGTTTTTTTTATATACTTTTAAGATTTGAAGTACACTACAAGTGCACATTAAATACAATTCATCAGACTTTTTTTTCTTTTTCCACAGAGGGACTCCATAGTGGGAACCTAGACTTGTGTTTTAACCTAGATCAAAAAATGATCTCTATGAAGAATTTCAGTCAGGTTTCAGGCCCCACCATAGCACAGAAACTGCACTTGATAAAATTACAAATGACTTGCTTCTTGCATCAGACCAAGGCTGTATCTCATTGCTAGTTTTACTTGATCTTTTCAATGATGAACTGTCTTTAACTGAAAAATTTGTGTTTACTATTGTCATTTTGCATTATTGATACTATTTTCCTAATTAATGCTGTTCAGTTGCTTTGACACAATCTGTATTGTTAAAAGCGCTATATAAATAAAGGTGACTTGACTTGACTTGTTTTGTCTGCAAAGTACGTTCATTTGCAGTAGACATGTGGAGCAGTGCATTAGCACACATTTCATATCTATCATTGCAAAATTTGTCTCTAAGAGGGTCGGTTCACTTTTGCAACTGGAAATAGAGCTGTAAAAAAGGTTAAATATCTTTCAAATTTGAAGAGTTCATTTGCAAAAACAGATAACTCCGTTTTTAACAATTTTCAAAAATCATGTTTTTTTCCATTGGGCATTCCAATTAATCTCAATCAAACTGCAGTTGGGTTATTTTGATTAGGTTAAAAAATAACTAAAAAATACAGCTAACTAACACAATAAAACAAGAAAAACATGATAACAATAAAAAACATGATTTTTGAAAATGTAAAAAAAATTTAGTTACCTGTTTTTGCGAATAAACTCTTCATTTGCAAAAAAATTAGTTTTCTTGGTCATTTTAAACCTAATGTTTATGTATCACATCTGTGGTATGCTGTAAATAAATCATTTTAATTAATAGTTTATACGAACCTATAGTAAACAAGTATAGTAAATGCATGTTTTTATAACATAAAACTATTTCGTTCCCTTTGTATTTCTGAAGAAGCACTGCTTTACACCGTTTGAAAATAGTTGGTTATAGTAATGGTTATTGATATAAAAAGACCTTTCACCACACTGGAACCAGCTACTGGACCCACAAACTGGTCCCAAGGGGTTTCTTTGTCTCAAATCCACCAAGGTCTCACTGACCTGTTTTGAGCCAAGGAAACAGTACTGATTAAGGTGCTCACCTTTCCACAGACCCTCTGTCCTCTATAACATATGGCAAACCTTGGAGTTCAAGGACACCACAGTTTCACAGATAATGGCTGATTCATTACCAGCACTGACATAAATCTTTCGACACCCCCCATCCTCTCCACCATAATCCAACCTTGCATTTTACTATCTGTGTGAAAAGTGTTTCAGTATGCTGCATGATGGTGCTCCAATTATTCCTACAAATCTAGTCAGTGTTTTTATGGCAGGAAGATTTAAACATACAGATGTGTGTTTGAACTGTGCCTATCTAAGATATGTAAGAGTCTTTTTTCTAAGGGTGTCTGGGATATGGTTACATGTTTTGCTTTGATGCAGACCAGTCCTCCCTCACTATTTGTCTTTTTTAACTGTCCTGCTTCTAGACCACCCCACTAGACCAAGGGAGACAAAGATGCAGTTGATAAATGCGACTGATGAGTGTGACATCCATTTATTCAGCAGCTGCAGGGAGATCAGGTAGTGTTTTATTTCAACATCTCTTACTGTGATATAATGTCACATATTTATCTGCTATGAATTCTTTCTTTTGAACTTTTCAAAAGTTTTTTCGAAATCTACTACCTACATTTGTGCATATGTGTAAAATACAAAGAGATGGAGGTAAGGTAGGTTGTAACACTTTCAGAAAAAATGGCCATCAGATCTTTTGAACTTTTCAAAAGTTTTTTCGAAATCTACTACCTACACCTAATATGTGCATCAGTGTAAAATACAAAGAGATGGAGGTAAGGTAGGTTGTAACACTTTCAGAAAAAATGGCCATCAGATTTAGGTTAAAAATACTTAAATACTCAGTACATATCAAATGATCTATAATAACGGACAAAGCAATAGTGACCATGTAATGAAAACAGCTACTCACACTTGTGTGGTGCAAAATCGTATCCAATATAGTCGGCACAGTATCGTCTTTTAGTTTCAATTGTTCTGAAATTCCTGTATCGAATTGTACCTTGTTTGTAAATGAATCCAAAGTAAAATGAAGTAAACAAAGGACCAAGCTCTTATTGTGGTGGTCTGGAACTTCATTAAAAATGAAGTTAATCAGCTCTTTCCTAACGTTGGGATCCAGAGGGAAGGCAATGCAAAGACTGATATTCCACAACTTTGCACTGCACAGTGTCTTGTTGTCTTCGCAGCCTCTTTATCGTTTGGCTTCTGTAGATCTGCGTGTTCGCCTCTCTCGTAAACACTACATGTACAAATCGGTGGGCAGGGCTAAACAGGCAGCGATGTAGAAGCAGGTGTTGGTCTTCTTCTGTGGAGGCGGTGTTTAGCCACACTATTACATCATAGAGTGGTACTTTCCACAAGCTGTCATTTTGGCAGACTGGTTTCAATACAAGCTGTTTTTAGACTAACAAGTATGTTTTGAGTTCTGAAACTTACAGGATGGTTTTATAGTACAACGACCTCTCAAATGTCAAAAGATCAAGGGAATTTTGATTTCTTAGTTCATGGCCCTTTAAAATGATTATAAATTAATCCTAATTGTAAATAAA